TTGACCATTCATGTTATCTTGAACCTGCTGTCTCTTATACACATCTAGATGTGTATAAGAGACAGGGTTTTATCGGGTTAACTCACAAGCTGATCTAGGTCAATTTTCGGGGGCGGGGTATTTGGGGGTGTCTGGCAGGTATACCCCACCATTAAAAATGTCTGGCGGTGACCATTCCTGATACCTGGTACTATGCCCAACATTTTGCAGTAGGTTTCATCGGGTTAACTCACGAGCTGATCTAGCTTAATTTTGGGGTACCGGTTTTTTGCGTCTGGCACGCACCCCCCACCACTGGAAATGTCTGGCATTGTCCATTCGTGATATCTTGAACTATGCCGAATATATTCTGATAGGTTTCATTGGGTTAATTCAAAAGTTGATCTAGCTCAATTTTTGGGGCCCTTTTTATGCCCCTCCTGACCACACCCACCACAATGGGACCGGCAGATGCCCATTCTCCTACATAGACAGGCACATAGAACATTACTATATACACAGAAATTGGTTAACTTTCCAGCTATGCTGACACCCCTGGGCTCCTGCTCTATTACCTGATTTTCTCTTACCTTGCATATCCCCATTTTTATTATTCAAAATTTTGTTTCTACCTATGTTTCTTTTATTTTTATGTGTGTATATGTATGTATGTATATTTGTATACATGTGTGTGTATGTATGTGTATATATATATATATATTATGTATATATGTGTGTGTATGTATATGTATGTGTGTATGTATGTATGTGTGTACATATATATGTATATATATATATATATATATATGTATGTTTTAATATATATATATATATTTTTTTTAAAGTTAAGTTTTTGCTCTCTTTGTTATTTTCTGCTTTTTAAATGTTTTTGTAGATAAGAACTGAACCACTTTGGAAATCAGTACTATGTGTGCATTCAGTATAAAGAAAGAATAAATAAAATAAATAAAATATTGCATTACATGCATAGGAACTAATAATAATGTTAAATTACAAACATACATAGTTGATCAACTTGTTTTCTTTATAAAAAAAAACAATCCCATAGAAATGTGTTACATGTTTTGTGACTGATAGGACATATATGGTTAATGACAAACATCTAATAGAAAATTGATTAAAAAATTATAGGTTTAAAATTAATTGAAACAAACATAGATTTTTCTTATTACAAAATCATACCTGCGTATTTCGGACTTGATAAGGCTTTCTACAAAAAAATAAAATAAAATAAAGAACTGGTTATATCTGTTATATACAGTATGTTCTGATTTTTAATAGCATACCAAGATTAAGATTGTAATTTTTTCATCTTATGCAACTCCTGGGCTTTTTAGAGCATAGTTTCGGGATCTTTTTTCAAGTTTTATTTGATGAACATCAGTGGTGGCGCCAGAGGGGGGGAAGACGATAATTTTGTCGAGGAACAAGCAAATAAAAAAAAATATTTACATGTAATATTCGTTTACCACCATATTGTTTGTGTTAACTTTTCATCACAACAACAATAACAATAATAATAATAATAATTCAATGAGACTATTAAAAACAATTTGCGTTCTGTTATGACAAATGCTCATTTAGATAGCCTCATGATGGTTGGAATACATCGTGATAGGTGAAGCAACATCGACCATGACAGTGTGGTTGACAGATTTCATGCAAAATTTCCAAAATATAGAATTTCACTTTCAAGAATGAGGATTTGAAAATAAATTAGATGGTTACATTGCATACTCTTTGTTTCTTGCTTTATTCAAAATGTTTTAGTTTTGGAAGCTGATTTCAACATTAGAAAGCATAGCCTACATGAAGTCATATTATAGTAACTCGATGCCTATCAAATAAGTAATAAAAATTCGCCATAATTAATTAAATATCCGTGGCTTCCATATGGCCTCGCCCCCTGGACCTCCACCGGGGGCCGCCTAGGGAGCCCCCTGGCCCCAGCCAAGTGAGACTCGATTCGCTCCACTAGCCTCCGCGTCAGGGCTTTTAGCCCCTCCGTCGGGCAGATCCTGGCGCCACCACTGATGAACATGGCTGTGTAAAAAAGTTTTGGGCTTTATTCATAAAATTGAGTGCATGCAACATTCCAATGCCCTCACTCCTACTTGCCAATTAAAGTTTGTGTGTTAATGTGTAATTCTTTTTCCATCCCAACTTGTGGTTTAGTTTCCAACTTTTTGTCTTAAATCCTTTTCTGGGCCATGTAAAAATCTAGGTGGCAAATTTCCAACTTCCTTATTTCTCTATATAAATTCCTTTCTGATTTGAATAACTTGCTGGTTTTTTGCAACTTACGATTTTTTGTAGCTCCTCCGCTGTTTTTGATGCAACTGCATTTTCCTGCTTGTCTTTGATTTCAACTTCTGTTAAAGATTAGTTTTTTTATGTTATTAGGATGAAAGTAAAAATAAAGTTAAGACAAAAATTACACAAATCAATTGTGATGTATTTACAGAATAGGCAACAATATTGCACAAACTGTTACAGCACCTCCCTGAAAATACTGCTGAGCTACTGGGCAGCAGCATTCATATTGAAGTTGACAAATGAAAATAATTTTTAAATGCTTTCAACATTATTATCCTTGATCAATACATTAATATTGACAAGTACAGTATGTAAAATATATAGAATAACAATATTTCTGGTCAAACTGTTTGGGCTGGGTGTCCATATACAGTACATATAAGAACATAGCCTACAGACACCATTGTCCAAAATCTAGTTCGGTTAAAAAATGAACCTTACTGTGATCAATTTTTTTTTCTGTCCACTTGGTATTATCAGCGTTATCACATGTAAGAGTTGTTGTCATGGCCATGACTTCAGTAATTATGTGTTCTTCAATAAATCTTCAAATGAAAAAATAGTTCTCACACTGTGGGCAAATATGCATCTTAAACCTTTGTAATTAAACATGCCAGAATTTTGTCTTCAATTTCTAACAGAACTTGCCTTTTACAGAATTAAATGTTGATGCTCTAACAACCAAGTTAGATTCCCAATGCTTCACAATGACTAACAAATATGTAAGAGTCTTCCAAAAATAGAATCATTAATTGTTAACCAATACCAAATTGTTACCCAAAATCAAATTAAAATTAACAAACCAAGATCATCGAAAAATTTAAACAATTAAATGCTCTCATTTTGTCAGCTGATGTACAGCCGAACAAGTGATTAGTCCGAGTTCTCAAGACGCTATTATAGTCTCCTGATTGTCGGTGGTAGTCTCAGCGGAGACACTGATAACAATCTTTCATGATATGCATCACAATGTCAGCCTACCATGATGACAGCTCACCATCGCCAGCGGCGTAGCTAGGTGCAAAAGGGCCCCAGTGCAAGATTAATTGCCGGGCCCTTTGATGTGATGGGGAATTCCCTAAAGTTCTCCGAAAATTGAGGCATGTTGTGACAAAATGGTTAAGTTGTCGCACATGCCAGTATTGAGTAAATGAGCTATTAATATGGGGACTCAAAAAATCCAAATTTTGTTTTTAATTTTAAATCAACAGTGTCTTATCATGTCCCAAAGTATTAGTTCTGGAATTGGTCAACAAATCGTTTATTTAATGTTATCTAGAAAGTTAATTCTATTAAACAATGTATGCACAAATAAATTGCAAAGGCAATTACGCAAAATTATTTTTATCTTGACTCGGAGAGTGCTGCACTTACACTTTTCAATAACTTAGACTTGAAATGTAAAATTTCAATAAATGACCCCTCATTTTAAAGAAAAGATCACATATTCAGGTATCTGAAAATACCAATAACTTGAATTTCAATTTTTGCTACAACATAGCCATTTTGCCACAACATGCCTCAATTCATCATAAGAATTTCTTTTTTACCCCCTACTTTTAAAAGCCTAGGTTAGTAATAAATACTAATATAATCGGATTTGTAAATATTTTAAGTGGGAATATTCAGTCTCAGCAGCTGTTCTAAACTAATTAAGAAAATTGGTGGTACATAAAATTGGCAGATCTGGGATTTCCAAATAGAGGGGTCAGGGAGGGATTTTCATAAACAGAAGATGCAGTCCCCCTCAGCTCCACCATTAATTAATACAATTTCCCTTTTCCACATATTTTTATAATTTTTTAAAAATAGGGGGTCGGGCCAGCTGGGGTTCATCTAAATTGGAATCAACACAGTAATCAATAATTATTCCACTAAAAATCGAATAATGAGGGGCCCCGATGGCCATTATTTATTATTATTTTTTTTTTATAAATTATTTTAAATTATTATTTATAGGTCGATTTATGAATGGGCCCCTAACAGCCCTGGGTCCCGATGCTTTGCACTGGCTGCACTGCCTGTAGCTACGCTACTGACTATTGCCAATCCTGAGTCTGCCTTTAGAGACTTGGTTTTGGAAGTGACAAAAAATTCTTAAATCATACAAGTTTTGAACCAAGGACCCAGTAATTTTCACATAATAACATGTATTTATAAAATTTAGGCAATTTCAAGTACAGTGATTCCTCACATTATGTATTCAACACACTCTATGCTTGTTTGTATGATGCTGTCTATAAATAAAATATAGTGTGTATGTATCTGCAACACACAAATGAAAGCCTAATATGCTCCAAAACAGCCATTGGAATAAGGCATCCAGAGTCTCATTCGATTCTTTATTTCCTAATTTGGATCTCTGAAACTGACCTTATTTATTCATTCATAATGACCTAATTAATGTTAAATATTGAACCCTGACATGAAGGTGTGCATTTCAATACTTGGGAGTATGTATTATACTATCTTCACAATAAAAATATCTACTATTGTACACATTAACTTACTCCTTCCCTAATAAGGAGTTGATCAGACAGGTCTTGCCAACATTTTCTGGGCCCATTACCATGAGTCTAACCAGGTTGATGTCACTTTCTCCCTCTTCTAAGGCTGCTTGATAAACTTCTAATGCATCGGGCCCTCTAGCCAATATTTCTGCAGGAATTGCATTTCCTAGGTAGAAAAATTACACCAAAATTTTGAGATAAACTGTCATATCGGGAATTAGAAAATTGCACCTCATGTGAAGTACAATAAGTAGAATTTACTACAACATTTATATCGCAATTTTATTAACATTTTTTAATTCCTTCAGGATACATTACATTTTTTAGTTACTTTAGTATGGTCTAGGTCAGTGGTTCCCAACCTTCTTGCATTCGTGTAAACCTTGGGACATGTTGAAATTCTTCACGAACACCAAGTTTGTTTCCTTATTGTTAATATTCCACTATTTCATTATTGATAAGGTTTGTAGTGATTGGTAGATCTACATGTATCACACTGCGGTTAGATGAGAAAATATGGAATCATGAAAAATTGTCTCCCAAACCTTTTTGTGGATGTGCTTTCACTTGGAGGAACCCCAATTATTTTTCATGGACTTCAGGTTGAAAGCCACTATTCAAGGTAGGTCCGAAGTATTGCTACTAGATTTCACACCTCATAACAAAGAATACGAGATTAGCACACAGGAATCTAGAATCCAGATATTATCAAGGGTTAGGAGACAGGCACATAGAATATCCAGGTACCAGATATTAGATTATCATGCAGGAACCCAGAGAACACCAGGGATTAAGACACAAGGTAGCAGGTCATTTCAGCCAAAACCAACTTGGCCCAATCCAACATGGCCGAATTAAACTTGAAACCAAAACCAACACGGAGCAATATCAACTTGGCCCAGATGACAACTTGGATCAAAACCAACTCCGCCCAGACGACAACTCAAACTAAAACCAGTTCGGATCAAAACATTTTTATGTTGTTTACTGAAAATACTTGTTTATGAATAAATGTTATAAAATTGAATTAAAATGTATATGGAATTCCAAAATGATCATAACATTTTAATAGATTTATTTATTAATCTTATTTCATATTGAGTTTTTACTGCATTATTTCTTTGTACATAAATTATTAATTGACAATTCATATACTTTGAATTGTATAGTACTCTTTTTTATATTTTCTGTACTGCTTTTCTGATCATTGTATGTTTTATGTGAGGACCCCATGATCATCAGCATACCGCTTTTTTGGGTCCTTCGGTTAAAAAATAATTTTAAAAAAATAATTTCTGACGTATGCATATTATTTGTCCAAATAGATTCTATTAAAATTAATGGGCCAGTATAATTCAGATAATAAATAACTTGGTAACAGTAATAAAAAAAAAAATATATAACATTATAAATCACATTAATATTTATATTAATACTAAAATAATAAACATAATACTATAATAATAAAATATATAATATAACATAATATTAATTGTTATTATTTTATTATTATCATTGTAACAGTGTATTATTATTTAGCATTCGTATTTAATATTCAGTTTTGATTCAATTGAATTATCATTTGAGTAATGGGTAATTGTGATCTCTATTCATTTGGGTAATTTCCATATCATTTGTGTAGTTGTCATCTGGGTCGAGTTGGTCATTTTGGCATGAGATGCATTGGATTGGGCTGAGTTGGTTTTGGACCAAGGAGACCACCATTCAAGTATTCAGGTCAATGGAAGCAGCATGGCTGACATTTAGTGGTGCCCGATAAGCAACATGTGAGAGAGGAGGAACAAACAAGGTTGGGACCAGAGGGTCACGAAGAACCCTTGATTGGGGGGTCAGGCACTAAGGCTTTTGGATATTTAGTGTTTTTTTTCTGACTAATTAGGTGATTATTTATAATTTAAACTCTTACAACACAACAACTGCTAACTGGTGATCCATCAGTCTGATTTTTTATTTTTTGGCAAAGTATCAGTAAAGAGATAGGCATATCAAAACTTGGACCCCAGATACAAGGAACAATAAACACAGAAAAAAAAACCAAACATAATTTTCCTGTTTGTTCTTTGTTAAGAAATATTGCCTGGACCCCTGTAGACCCGAAGTAGCAAGAGTGCAGTACCAGTACCAACTCTAGAGGGATGGCTGCAGTGGGGAAAGGGTTGTGACGAGGGAAGAGCACAAGACCCAAATTCGTAAGGGAGAAAAAAGAGATGTATTTTCTACATATTAATAGACTATAAAATCGATTAAACAAGCTTAAGAAATCCCTAAATTGTCATATTTTTCAGGGGCTTCACAACCTGGACCAATTTTGAAACATTTTGAGCTACGTCTAACAACCACGGCTACTTTACTCTCGTTAACCGGCAAATCCTAGTGTCACCCCTGCTACTCTATCTCAGTAGTAGTAGTAAAAAATTTTAATTATTCACGAAAACATAATTCAACAATTTACATGCTGTTTTTCATCATGGCCGTAATAATTACTGGTCCGCACGTTGCTCCACACTTAAATAAAGTACAGGCGCAAGTTATTATATTGGGTTTTTTTAGTAGAGCTATAAGATAGAAATTTTAAAATAATTAGAATGTTTTGTACAAAACAAATTATGATTTAGAATGTTCATTTGTACAAAATTAAAATATCTTAAAATTGAAAAAAAATTCAATTTCTTAAAATTGGAGGAAAAAAAAGTAGCAATTGGAACTCACAACCTTAAGCTCTTTAGAACACATCCTTAACAATAATGTACAGTCCTTGATGAAACCCCTGTTTCGTTTTGTAGGTGTAGGGAAAACCCTAGTGTCCAACTTAAAAAAGGGCGATAAATGTTTGTTGGAAATCACCTCAAGTTTATAAGTATAAAATTTCCTGCATGTCCGTTAAAAATTGCGATGCTGGACGCTTTCAAATTTCTGGTAACAAGAACAAAAACAGCAGTGAGGCCCTGGGGTCAGCATCTTGCTCAAACCGAAAAGGTAGGTTTAGAAGACGAGCACAACTTCAGCCAAATCAACTAGTTGATTAATAAGAAAGTTGTATACCTTTCGATGATTCCAGTGCATCAACGATGGTTGTAAATTCATCAGCATCAATCCTGATTTTCAACTGCCAGAGCATCTCCAGGCTGGGATTGTGTAAGAACTTCTTATTAATAACATTGAGCTCTTCTTCTGCAAACCCTAAAAGTGCTCCAATTTTCTTCCAGGTCTTCTTTATATTTCTAGATATCATTTCCAGTTTCATATCTAAAGTGAATATGTATAAACAAGATATTTAGGCTTTCTCCCAGACAAATATTGGTAGGTCAACCCAAGTGCAATGATTGGCTCTGCCAATAATTGCTCCATTAGAAGAGTCTCAAGAATGCTAGCCTATAGCTGACCAACCAATTGATGGTGCAAACCAGACTTATTCCTAAAATCAACATACCAATCCAACAATACTTTTATTTTATTACAGAGTTGGTTAACATACCAATCGCTCAGTGAGAACGAATGGTATGCCTACAATAGGATGGAAATGTCTTCAAAATGAATCTGGTAAAAGAACTTTTAAATATCGTGTTATTAAGCTTTGGAATAACCTACCTTTAAAAATTCACAGCACTATACACTCACTTACTTTAATATCTTTCAAAGATCTAATTTAGATTTACTTCTTATACTTCATTATAATTTTTATTTTTATTTATTTTCATATGAAATTTAAGTTTTTGTTATCTGGACCCCAAGGAAGAACAATGTTCCTACATTGACTGGGAATCCAGTTAAAAGGTTTCTAATTAACTAACAGACTAACAGTGAGCACTGAAGCAGAAATGTAATCACTGTACAAGAAAATTCAAAATAAACCATCTACTAACTGTTCCTGCAGTAGTAGTATCTACTATTAAGCAATTAGTAGAGCTGTGCATAGTACACAATTGGAAAATTATTATACAAAGGTTAGATTTAATGCTTAAAAAAATTTCCTGGAGCCTGCAAGGCCCGAAGGAAATTTTTTAATGCATTAAATCTAACCTTATAATTTTCTGCTAGTGTACGATGCATGGTCTACTAATTCCTTTATAAGTCAATCACCATCACTTTATGTTAGTTTTGATAATCAACTGTTGCAGCAGTCATTGGTTGCTATAGTGATGTGATCAGTATACTGTGTGCGTACTCTATTTACATTTAGCTGTGATTTGTGCTTCTGCAGTACATGTTAACTCACAGACCTAGAGCGACGTTTTACACATCAGAGAGTACGGATACGATAAATAACTATTATTGTGTTGGACTTGTTGGCAATGCTATTTTTATAGACATTTTAAAGTCAAAAACACAGACAGGTAAAATTGTGCAATGATTCATAACTAGGCTAGAGTATGTAGTACTAGTAGGAAGAGGCCTAGGCTAGCATCTCCCTGGTAGCTTAAAGCCAAGGCCTAGACCACGTCTTAATAGCCTCAGTATTGTTACTTGCATAATAATAATACATACTACTTTACTTGAATTTTGATAAACAAACTAACTTAAAAGAAAATCGGTTTTATGTATGAGCACTGTGCTTACTTGAAAATCGCCATATTTCGAGCTCTGTGACATCAAATACGTCCGACCGTATAAGGATTCTATACTCAAAGAGTATAGAATTTCAAGAGGTTCTACTGCCCTGATTTTGTATGCGCACAATGGAACGTAAAAAAATGTACTGCCACCAGATAGGGGCATCACACCATTATCAATGGACAAGCGCTCAATTGTGGAGCATATGGAAGGTAATGGGTCCAGGTTTGTATGGGGCCTAATCTGCTACCTCGTAGCTTACAATTCCGCTAGTAATTGAAAAGGAATTCCATTAAGTATGGTGTTTGGGTCCGATTGGATAGCCAATTAATTTGAGAACTTAAGGGAGAAAAAGAAAAATCTGTAGTGGGAAAAATGAGTGTGTGGGACAGAGTCAAATACACGTTTAATATCAAGAGAGAGGACACAGGAGCGAAGATTTTTTTCCAGGACATTATGTGTGACATAGAGGAGGGAGTCCAATGTAGAATTTCTAATGTGAAAACCACATAGGAACTTAGAGACGAATGGATTATTTTTAAGAGAGTTGAGGGGCGAGATGATATCTTCAAGAAGATTGCTGAACGGTGATGTGATAAACACGGTGATAGTTTAAAAAGTTAAATTTTGGATGAAGACTTGAGAAAACAATTGTGGTTTTCCAGATTAAGGACAAAGTGCAGTGCTTACTGGATAAAATAAAGAGATAAGGAAGAAAAGAAGAGCATTGATATACAACAATTTAACAATAAAATTGTATGGGCATGGGGATTTAGAGTGAGACAATTTGGAAGAGGCTTCAATAATTTTATTGACGAAGATAGGAGGGCATTCTTGATTAGGAGGGAGGCAAGAGTGCTGGTAAAGGAAGGAAATTGATCCGTTGTGAAAAGCGAGGTGAGGAGGACGAATTGCAAAATAGGCCCTTAGGTGCAAGCTTGGGGAGGGTCAGGTGGGCTGCCCAGGGCCCCCGAAATCTCTGGCGTCTATAGCCTTTTATAAGTCGTATATAGTTATTTTTAAGGAATGCAATTAAAATTTATTTCCACACTACATTTTCAAAATACAGTGGTGAGTCTAGGAATTCCAAATAGAGGGGGCACAGGGATTGACTTTTACAGATGGAGTACAGACCATCTCATTCCTACCATAGTTGGGGCTGAGATAAGAAAATTAATGATTATGGCACCTCTAGTTGGCCGAAAATGGCACTCTCCGACATAATTTTGAATACAATTTTTTATTTTTCTCCAAAAATTAGTGAGGGTGGGCCCGGTGGACGCCTCTTGAATCTGCCACTGAAATACTCATCATAATTTTTTTTTTTTTTCTTTCAATTTATCCTGGTAATCATAATCATGCCTGCTTATATATTTTCTGCAAACAACATTCATAAAAATAAAAACTCCAATTCTATCTTTGCATGCACAGTACTTTAAAAAACAATCAAAAGGTTTTTCCTTTTCTCCTTTTTTTAATTTTCACTTTTGTGTGAGCAGTATAATTGCGATTACCCTCATTGTGAGTGGAAATAATACCGTCTAACTTACGTTCAAACAGAAATAAGGAGATAGGAAGCACACACAACATTAGTTTGCATTTTTATTTTACAAACATGAAAGGTGATTTAATTAATTTATCAAGAAAGGGGCAGATCCAGAAATTTTTTAGCGGGTGGGGGGAGGGGCGCCAATAGGTGAAACACACCCGCCTCACCTCAGCCCCACGAAGGTTGGGGCTGAGGTGAGCAAATTTTTAAAATATGCCCCTCTAGACGCTCGGAAATGGCACTCCCGACGGGAGAGCTGCTCCCCCTCCACTAAACCCCACTTCCCTCACGGGCGTTGCAAAGTCTAAATAAGGACCTACAGTCTATTTTATACTGAGATTTGCAAAGCAAATTTTGATTATGGCACCTCTAGATGCCTGGAAGTGGCACTTTTTCGGACTTTGGCCAGCTGGGCACTCCGGCCAGCTGGGCACTCCGTCCCCACTGCATTAATATAATATACTGTATGTCCTACAGTCAATGTCAGAGACACATTATGCTCTTATGTATAAACAAAGTCCTTTTAGATCACGGTGTTTTAAAGCGAGGATCCTATGGGTCGGTGCATCCCACGGACACCTAAAGTCGGTGGCCCTGCAGACCGCCGTACGAGATCGCATGCCTTATGCCACTGAGCATATAGCTGTTCCAGCTGGGTACACTACATTCCGTAATAATGCGGCTGGAAAACACGATCTTGAGTCTCCACATTTTGGATATTTTATATCCTGGTTTATGAAATCGTTTAAAAAAATCAGTGTCGGGGATATAGCGTAAGGTTTGATAAAAATTCAAAATTAGTGAGTGGTAAAATAATCGAGCTCTCCTTTCGTCCTCTGCTGTGCACTTTCTTTTTTCTGCTTTCCTCCCTTTAACTCTTCTCAATTGTTTCTCCCTCTTTTATACCCCTCCCCCTGCTGAATCTGCTGCTGCATGATGTTATGGCGTGATTGTATAAAGTAACACAACGGCTATATAAAATTGAATTGACTAGGCCTAACTAGTTTTGTTTTTTTGTTTTAAGTAACAAAAACAGGAATCTACGTAGGCAGATAATATTGAACACAGTGGAAGCAGTTTGGTGCAGCGGGAACGGTTTGGTTTCCCAACCTCAAGACCGAGGTTTCAATCCCTTGCTATGCATTTTGCCTGTGTCCTTGAGCAAGACACTTTCATCTGCATTGCTTCTCTTCACCCAGGAGTATAAATGGGGACCTGGTGGGATTACTTGCTCCTACACTGATTACCAGCAGCAAAACTTAGCATGTGGACCCAATGTGCAGGGCAAAAGTACTTCAGCACTTCGTAACTGAAAAGAAAGGTGCTATACAAATAACAAGTAACAAGTATATATGGGGTTTAATGATATACAAAAGGAATAAATTGTTTATACGGTATTGTACAATTTAGAGTTTGCAAAAATGTTGGCCTAAATTTTATTTTAAACCACATAATAAGTAGGTCCTAGTGTAGGATAGTCTTCCCTTCCCACAGTCTTTATATAATTCTTAAGTCAATACGTATATTTATCATATACTCAATTCAATTCATTTCAAATTTAATTTCAGGAAAAATACAACAAAAACATGATGTTGCCTTCCAAGGATTGCCAAAAAAGTTTAAAAACTATCAAGTGGCTCTCCGAACAGCGTCATTAAAAATTAAATAGCATGCAATAATTTATATAACATTTTTAAATAAAAAAATATAATAAAAATAATAATAAAAATAAAAATAAATATATAAATAAATAAATAAAAGAAAATAAAAATAAATAAAATAAAAGTATATATATATGCATACACACAAACACACATAAACAAACATACATCACACATAAACAAACATACATATACATATACGCGTACACAAACACACACCAACACATACACGTACATACATATATACACATATATATACATATACATACACACACACACACACACATATACTTTTACTTTTTACACACATCACGTTATACTTTTGTTAATGTACTGCTACTTATTTATCTATTCTTGTCACAGCTTTTCATACCTGATGATGGGCTATGCCCGAAACATGTCGTATCAAATAAATTTCTACTGAGGCAGATTACAACCGTGTTGCTTTTGATTTTATATCCTATCACTCTGCCTATGCAGCTT